CTACTTCTCTACCTTGAAATCCCTATGGCATGAAATTGATCATCTAGAGACTCTTGAGTGGGAAAGTCCCAAAGATGCACAGACTTATAGAAAGCAAGTCGAGACAAATAGGGTATTTGAATTTCTGGCTGGCCTGAATTCAGATTATGACATTGTGAGGCAACAGATACTGACCAGAGATAGTGTGACCCTCAAGCATACTCCCTGGTGCATAGTGAAGAGACCGGGAGGAAAGTTATGATGCAACCTCAGCCCTTTTCCCCAGTCGTGGCAGCTGTTAAACCTAAGTCAGGGGGGGATACAGAAAGGGACAAGAAGAAGGAAGACAAACGGGATCTGGTATGTGAACATTGCAAGAAACCAAAGCATACAAAAGATACTTATTGGAAGCTACACCCTCATTTGGTCCCAGCAAAACTGAGAAATAAGAAGGGTAATGCTCATGTGGCTATGAATACTGATTCAACATCCTCGTCAGGCACAAAAGGCACTCGGTTATGCACAAACTCAAAAGGGTTATTGCTGCTATGATCCTGTTTCCAGGAGGAAGTTTGTCTCCATGGATGTCACCTTCTTTGAGGAGACACCCTATTATCCTAGGGTTTCTCCTCAGGGAGAGAGCAGTGAGAGTGGGGATTTGGGTCTTTTTCCTCAGGGGGAGAGCAGTGAAAGTGGGGTTAACACATCTAAGGCTGTTCCTTTACCTATTCCATTGGGTGATGATGAAGGCTGTAATGGTGAGGGTGGTTAGAGGGGTCAGGAGTTGAAAGTCTATCACAGGCGATGCAGGCAGGTTGATCCCGGTAATCGGCAGTCCAGGCCAGCTCTAGTTCCTTCTACGGCTCCAGATCTAGGTATTACAGTCCTAAGGCCCACTAAGACACCTTCCACTATTGCCACTTCCCCTCCTGCGGATGACCTTGACCTCCCTATTGCCGTTCGTAAAGGGAAACGACATTGCACCACATCTACAACTCACTGCATTTCCCAATTTTTATCCTATGATCGCCTATCTCCCTCTTACAGGTCCTATCTCACTTCCATTGCCAATGTCCCTATTCCCAGAACAGTGCAAGAAGCCTTATYAGTTCCAGAGTGGAAAGATGCAATGCAAGTTGAAATGGATGCCCTGTTGAAAAATAACACTTGGGAGCTAGTTGACCTACCCAAAGGAAAGAAGCCAGTTGGATGTAGATGGGTATTTACTGTGAAGCATAATGCTGATGGCTCCATTGAAAGGTACAAAGCCCGGCTGGTTGCAAAGGGGTCACCCAGACTTATGGTATAGACTACTTGTTGATGGCTCCCTTGCAACAAGTTATTCTTGGCCCTTGTTCCAGATGGATGTTAAAAATGCTTTTTTGAATGGAGACTTATAGGAAGAGGTCTACATGCAGTTGCCTCTTAGATTCTATGATACAGAGACAGGTAAGAATGTTTGCCGACTGAATAAGGCATTGTATGGATTAAAGCAGTCGTCTAGAACTTGGTTTGATAGATTCAGACTAGCCCTTGGAAAATTCGGTTATGTAYAGGCCCAGTCAGATCATACACTGTTCATTAAAAGGGTGGACTCCTCTTTGACCCTGCTTGTTGTATATGTGGATGATATTGTAGTGATAGGAAATAATAGTAGTGAGATTGAGTCCCTC